TTAATTGGCAATTTAGCATTATATAAGCTCGACCTAATTTTAATTCACTTGATAACTATCGCTACCTTTAATGATATGCAATTCTATTTATCCATTGAATAAACTTTGCAAAAAACAATGATGCTAATGAAATACTGTACACAAAGGGGTTAATATCCTACATTGTGTATTGCCCCAATTCAAATCCCACATATAACTTTCAGCCAGATCAGCAGAAGGGTTTCCTAACTCCACAACTCTTGTAACCACATGTAACCACATGGAAATATTGTGGACATCGCTTCCGAGAAGAACTTCAAACTGTGGTATTTGCTGCTAAAAGGCAAAATGCAAACATGCAAGTATCTGCCTCAGTTAAGTGGGTTAAAAAAGGTAACATCTGGGGATCACTTGAAATTTCATTATCCAAGACAATGCAGAATTTAATGCAAATCTCAACCATCATTGTCTGTCTGTGCTAATTCTATCCTCTTTAAAGATTAACTGTTAAGAGATTAACTCTTTGTAAACAGAGGCCAATAAGCTCCAAGAGAAGTGTCACTTCTACCATAGTTACTTGCTGCCAGGTTTAGAAAAGAAACTGGCCAATACTTGAACTCTGGCGAGGAATGATATTGATATGCTCAAAATAATATCAAGTCTGGAAACAGACGAGTTGGGCAAGTCATCCAAGCAAACATTTTCTGCCTTGTGATCCTATATGGAGTGGTTTACACACCAAGCAACAGAAGCTCTCAGTATATAATAGTAATACAGTGAACATGAGGTTCAGCCCCCATGATACTACAGTATCCGTATCTAAATAAACCAAAAGGTGAAAGTGATATTTGATACATTAGGTGCCATATACAACACAGCTGGAGATAAATCATGTCTGGCCAAGAAATATAGTTTTCATGTAATAGTTTGATTGTATATGAGCTGTATTTAAATAATGACTTGTATTTGAAATTCACAATACTGCACTGAGATCTTAAATCTGAAGGGACTTCAGATACTGCAATGTTCACTTGGTTATTATGCTCTAATTGCCATTTGGCACATTAACATTTATCCTGAGCACAGCTGTGCTTTCCAGCCTGAAAGAGAAGCATCTGTTACAAGTCAGGGAGGAAGGTGTTTGGAAACAGTAATATGACTTATGACTTTTCTGCAACAAACAGTTCACCACAATGACAAGGCATTCTATCAACAACCGAATTATCATGACCGATTACACGGGTACCTACAGTGTTAAAATTAACTGGAATGTCCTAGTGAAAAAAGCAGGTATCCAAACACACTAACGTCATCTTGATCTCTGGTGAAATCTGAGCACTTGAAGGGTTGACTAATTGTCAACTTCTTTCAACTGCAGGCATATGGGGAAAGGAAAAGTAAATGAGACTGAAAGGATTGCTCTTAAAAGAGTCATCACACAATGGGACGAATGGCCTTCTCCTCTGCTATTAATTTTTATGGTTCTACGATTCTCTCTTTTCCCATCCCCTATTTTATGTGGAACATACCTGACAGTAGAGGAACTTGGCACTGTTCTTGCAGCCCACAAGCACAAACTAAATCTTGAATTAAAGAAGCAACCTGTGCACTGCAAAGCTATTCATCAATATATCTCACTTCCTTTCATCCCTAGGAGAACACAGCAAACAAGTAACTTAAACAGTTGTTTTAGCTAAGATCAAGTGTAGCATCTGTTCATATATTACTCCTCGGGTTGTGCACCTGATAGTACTTTCCCCTTTGAGGTCCAGATCATGTATTAATAATCATTGCATTTGACGCAGCGTCTTATCACGTCTTCCAGACGTCTCAAAGCGCTTCACAGAATATACTGTAAAGTGAATTAACTGTATATTTAGTGGGTGGACATACTAGACTCTTTTGACAAAAGGTCATCAACCTGAAACGTTAACCCACTTTCCTCTCTCCATAGATGCTGCCTGACCTGCTGAGTGTTCCCAGCGACTCCTGTTTTTTTTTCAGATTTCCAGGAAAGCTGTGACCCGAACCTCCCAATGATTTATTCGTGGTGGCAAGCAACTGCCAATAAAAACTATGTCTTCAGCCCTCTGTTGGCCGGGAACAGGATAGGAAGGGTTCTGATCTGGGGAGTTGATTTGCCCTCACAAGGAGGAGTGGAGACACTGGGATACAGATCTACCTTGGGTCCTTGACAACTGGCTCAGAATGGGCTTGCCTGGGATGCAAAGGCAATCTGGCCACTTGATGTGCTCAAGTGGTCGGGATGCAAGGAATTGGGTGCATGCTGTTTTGACAATTAGGGCCCAGATTTGCATGGGGATCCAGCCTGCCCAGGGAGCAACCTAAATCCAGTTTGTGGAATGTGATTCGGTTTAATTTGGCTTAGTGGGGGTGAATGGGGAAACCTTGCTCAACAAAAAGAAAAGAACTTTAACAGCACAGAAATTTACAGGGAATGCTCATTAATTTAAAACTGCAGGAGGGTAAACAAGTCTGAGAACTAAAATAGTTGTCATCGCAGACACAATAGCATAGACTGTGCTGTGGGCATTCTATGATTCGGAATCCTAAATGGACATTACAAAGTCTCCACAGCTGATTTACACCATTTGTTCAAGTGCATTTAGGAGTCACGTTCTACAGAAAACTCACTTATAATGTAAGCACATTTGAATATAGATAACAGCCCACAATGTTAACACTCTCGCACTGAGACAAATAGATCGTTACGCCTTATTTAGGAACAATAATTTTTGAACTGAACTTAAGTTACAATTTAGGGCTCACTTGAACAACATGAAGATTTCTATTGGCTGGACTACAGTAACCACAGCTGGCTCTGGCAGACCTCCACAGAATGGAGGGTGTGCATTTCCCATGAGCAAAGTCACGAGCCTTTGGGAGTAAAAAAAACATTTTGAGCAGATAGATGTAACCAGACAAAGTATAACTTCCTCCTAATTTACTTCTAAAAGCGGGAAATTGCACGATGAAAATTTGCAGGCGAAAACTAATGTGTAATCCCATTATAATGCTGTGTTTGGGATCCATAAAATCCCACATTATTCTAGTGAGACCGATAGCAGGTTTTACTGTGCATGTACGCAACCGGGCGGCATGCAGGGAGCTCAATGGCTGCTTTCCACGTTAGATCGGGCACATGATTGGGAGCTGAATGACCCAAGTCTGTCAGCGCTCCCAAGGGTTTCCTGCTTACGGCTGTTTTAGTCCAGCTCAAGCACCGCTTGGCATTAAATTCCTGACCCAATTTATGCTACCCCACCATGAAACTATCGTGTGTGCACAGCAGACTGATGTAAATCTGAGGCCTGAATTTCCACACTGTGGCACCCAGTAAGACTATTCTGTCTTAAAATGTAAGATTGCTGAAAATGTGCGAAATCTATCTTAGTATGATTAAAAAAAACTTCACTCAATCCACGACTGTTTGTGGGACACTGCTGAGTGCAATTGGCTGCTGTGTTTCAACCACAAAATATACAGTCAATTCACTTTACAGTATATTCTGTGAAGCGCTTTGGGACATCTTGAAGACGTGACAAAACACTATATCAAATGCAAGGATTATTATTATCTATTCAAAGCTTTATAGACGGGCAGGTTGTCCACAATCCCGGCCACAACTGCCAAACTCCAATGAAAGTTGGCGGGTCACCACTTAAATGGCTGATTTCCAGATCATTAAGTCACAAATCATGTCACTTACTACTATTCAGTGAAGTCACCACCTTTCAATCTTTTGGAATCTCTCCTTAATTAAGTAAACTTGCAAAACATATGGTTAAAATTTAGGATGTGGATTGCCCTTCAGGATGCATTGGTCAAGGCAGAATATCCTTTAACTTTCACAAGGGAATTAGAGAGATAGCTAAAGAGGAATAACCTGACAAATGTGGAAAACCTGACACAAGAGTTGGGTCCACAGTATTCCAGGGCACTGCTGATGACAGCACAGCCAGCCTGGCTCATTGGCAGGACCTGGAAGGGCAGACCAGTCACTGGGGGCAGGGAATTATACCACTCAGCTCCTGCAAGCCAAAGCCCAAACAGGTTAAGCAGTTCCAGCTGAACAAGCAGCTGGAAAGCTTGACAGATGGCAAAAATCAGTGGCAATTTATGAGGTTTTCGATGGTTAGACTCCATCAATATCCCAATGCACACTCTGAGGTCCCCAAGCCTCGACTTTTGCCAACCTGCGCTTTCTGGAATTAGGTAAGCGCGATGTGCCCCTCCAGGGAGAGAGTACGCATTCCATTCCAACAATCTATCTGGGATTTCCACATGTAGATGGGATGCATGGAAATCTCTGTTTGGTTTGGATACTCTTAAGCATGGTGATCGGTTTCCCTCAGACATCTGGCTGACCAAAGAAAAACCTGCAGGGCTGTTGGGAAAAGGCAAATAAATTGGACAAAATGGATTGCTCATTCAAAAAGCTAGCAGACAATCGGCCAAAATGGGCTTCTTCTGTGCTGTAAACATATTATTCCTAATTATTATCCGATTTCAGGTAATTGCACTCTAGCTGGTATTGTTGGTACTATCCTGGAAGCATTTTCTTCAAAACTTAAGATGGACTCGGACAAAAATATATTCATGCAACCATCTTTCTGCAAAAACTTACTCAATGACCTTTTATTTGCTACAAACAGCAGCAGATACTTGTACTTTGCAAACTGGAATGATGTTATCCATTATTCAACCTTAACCATCAGATTGATTTGCCCTCATGCACAGCTTGCCATACATAGGCTTCTTTACTGAGGAATGACACGCTTGCATGCAGTCTTAAAGTTCTTCATTTTAAGATACTCAAACCTGTTAAACACTTAATTGAGAAACACAAATTATATTCCTCTACTGTGTATGAATGTCTTTTTTTGCAGGATTCAAAATTTGCATGATTCCATTTTACAAAAAAATTAAGACTTTCCCCCAAAGCCACACGGCCCAAAAGTGCCCTTTATAAATGGTGAATCATCTAAAATATTTCTTACAGTGCAAGAATCATTTCCTCCTGCATCTTCTGTAGGGAGTCGAGCAAGAGAGGAAGAGCTTTATCATAATACTGTTCCTGGTGCAGCTGGGCTCCCTTAACTGCTAACACATACTGGTTGTGCAGATTATGGAGTTTCATGGTGGCCTTGTCAAATCTTTCTTTAGCTTTTTCAGTCTCCTTTCCTGCAAGAGAATGGAAAATGGCATTACAAACTCAAACTACAATGAGAGTTATCATCCCACTGTTCGTTCTTAAGAACATCCTCAAATTCTTGTTTTAGAAATACAATCATACTGGAACAAGAAAGAGCTCTACACTCTGTTAAAAACTGTAATTGTTCCAAACTAATTTTAGCTTCAGTTGATGTTACTGAAATCATAACTAACATATTCTGAAGAAACTAAGCAAGATGCAGTCTTTCCTGCAGTACAGACATTTTAATAATAATCCTTGCATTTGAAATAACGCGTTATCATGCTGTCAAGATATTTCAAAATGCTTCACAGGATATACTGTAAAATGTGGGTGAAACGCAGCAGGGGTTACACAAAACAATGTCCCACAACAACAACAAATTACATTTGTATAGCGCCTTTCACAGTGGGACAATATTCCACAGAATGAGTGACAGCCATGGAATGAGCAACCAATTTTATTTGGGGGATTGTTGGCCAGGGAAAAATAGTATTTCTTCCTTCAGAATTAATCTAAATACAAGTGGACAGACATTCTGGAATCCTCAAATATGTCAAAAATAAAAAAAGCTTGATGTGCATTTCACTGGAAACACCATCTCATGGTATCTCACCATCTCATTTCACGTTCAAAAGATCTCTATGTCTGATGGAAAGATATTGGAATAGGGGGAAGAAAGAAAGCCTTTACAAAAATTAAAAATGTCCTGAAAAGAGCGAGGATGTCAGTGGTGTCTAAAAGAATACTTTACTTTTATGATTCACTGTTAACTTTGAGCGCTCCAAACTCAGCGATAGAGTGGAGCACACAAAGAGCATAAGCTGCCTCCACTTTGCTCCAACCTCAAACAAATCTTTTACCATGGTGGGAATTTTCCATTTCCAGCAACTATCTTGCAATTTAAGTGAGACTAAATATTTTACTCAACAACAACTTGTGTTTATACAGCACTCTTCACTCGGGGTAGCAAACTACGAGCAGTTTGTGCTGTATTTAACTCTATATCAAAGAGGTAAAATGAAACTTTGCTGACAATCAATGCCACAGAAACACCTCTTCCTGGAACAATTTAAGTAACTGAAGCGACTTATTGACCAATTTCCCTGAAACATGTTTATGTGATAAATTATGAATGTGGATAATATTCTGGTTAAGTTCAGAAAAGAAAAATCCCCAAACTAATGCGGATTTGGTCAATGGATGGTCTGAATGGAAATATACATTTTAAAAAAATGCAAAATGTAAACTACTGGACACTGAACTAAGTAATGGTTAATCTATACTAATAAAACGACAATGTCTGTCTGTCTCCGCTTCAAGAAGAATCTCAATAACCGATTGACGTAGAGACATGATTTATACCTCAGCGGAAAGGTCTTGCATCTGGAATTGATATGGGCATAGTCCTTTTGGGCACCTCTTATCATTCATGAGTTATGACCTAAAATGTATTTCAGTTTTGCATTTTTCCCTGCAGTTACACCTGGTGGCTGCCAAGTCAAAGTGACGCCATGGCATCGTGCAGTTACACCTGGTGGCCGCATTGGCTGACCGTGGCGCTGTGGCATTGTGCGTCACAAAGCACGCACATAGCCAGGCCGCGACAAGATCAAAATAAAGAACACAGACAAAGCTAAGCAGTGACAACAACAAAATTACATTTTTAAAGCGCCTTTCAGGGGAGGACATCCCAGTGATTATAAATTACATTTATATTCATCATTATAAAGATGCCTAAGCCAAAATCAAACCTGTCCAGGATAACTAAGTGTGTCTGTCTGTGTGCCAATCTACATTCCACGTTGGATCCTTTGGTTGCAAGTGAAGCGGTCACTTATAAATTTTAAATGAACAAAGACCTCAATTTAGAAAAGTTGGAAATCTGCACATTAACAGAACCAGAACACATTGAAACTGTTGTGCTCAACAACTAAGACTTAAATTTTATTTGATGTGAACTATGCAACAAGCACAAGAACATATCAATAAATTGTCACTCACTAAATAACACAACCAAAAGTCATTGGAGAGTTAGTTTTTGAAGCTATTTTGACAAAATCATTTCATCGTTTCAAAAGATGTACCAAACTGTAAACTGAAGTGTAAACTGAAAATAAATGCTATAGAGGTTGATGTCAGGACAAACTCAGTATTACTACTTTTAATTCCAACAGTTTTAGACAACATAAAACATCAGTAAATTATACAACAAATGATGCTGTTGAAAAACATTTCTGGCACACTGCCCCTGCTTGACTAGCTATGATCACCATATCCCTTAGGGTTTCGGTTTACAAGGTTACCAGGAGCTCAGTGGGAAGAATCTTTTCCCCCAGTGACCGACTGGTCTGCTCCTCCATTCCTGCCAATAAACTTGGCCTCTCATCAGCAGTGCCCTGGAGTACTGCGGACACATCTGGCTCAGGAATCAGACAACTGAAACTGCCACAGAGGACAGAGTCAATTCCAACATTCTGTTGCGAAACACATCAACTTGTCCCCAAATCAGCTCAACCCCACGTGTCTCTTCCTCAAAGTGAATATCAGAATTGTCCCTTTTTACTTCAGAATATTCTTACCAAATCCTGATCTTCTGACCAAAACACAGGTTAGGATTAAACGCTACCAAGCATTACAGCCCATAATTCTGTTAACTTAACTGCTTCAATTGCACAAGGTGAAGAACTGTACAATGCCCAGCTCCTGGTTCTAATCGTTAAAGACCTAAAGTAATTGTTTCCATCATCTTCAAAAAAATCACTTTCCACTTTCTACACTAAACACTTTTCAAAAAATTTTTCCAATTCCCACCCTTTACGTGGGTTAGCACTGCAAGATGCTATCCAGTATGAAAGGCCTATATAAATGCAAGTAGTTGTTGTGAACAACAAATATTTGAACATTACACTTATTACATTGGAAGTGGAAGGCGCACTGAGTCAGTCAGGAGGTGAAGTTCCCAGCTGGTTTTAAAGTTCGATTCCACTTCGTATGGGGATTTAAGATCAAGAAGGCCACCTTTCTCATCACTTCCTACCCGGCGCCTAAAACACAACCGCACTATAAGGGGCAGACAGTGAAGATAACCTCCTTGATGTCAATCACTTCCTACACATATGCACTACACCGGAAGTGACGTCAAGGGAGGAGATATTGACAATGTGCCTCCCCCACTCTTACAATTTTAAAACAACTGGGTGCTACATCTACGACATAGACTGCGTGCCCTCCACTTCCCAGAGACACAACAGCTCAAGTATCATAATCAACTATTACCAGTACCAATACATAGAATAGCCCAAGGTCAGGGGCAAGAACAAGCAAGTGAATGGAGAGAAACAGAAAAACACATGCGAGTCAGTGTGACCGTAGGCTAAGAGACTGAGCCGAGACTGAAAAGAGAGCGAGCATTGTACTTAAGATACAGCGAAAAAACAGAGACAGGCACAGAATAAGTGGCTAAATATCAAAGAGGAAACAACAAACCTGTGAGGGTAAAAACAGATGGGAAACAAATCAGTATCAGACACAATTTGCAAAACACAGAGAAAGCAAAAGTCTCAGAAAGAGAGAGACAGACTCACATAAACATGTCTCACAAACTGAGAATAAAGCCAAAGGAAGACAGGATAGGGAGAGAGAGAGAAACAAAACAGGTGAATGAGATGAAGACAGAAAGTCGCACAGATACAAACAAAAGACAGACTTATTCACAACGTATAGTCAAGGTCACTACAACAACTCTACCGATCTTCATTCCCAGGTAAGCCCTCCTCAATACTGGAATGGGCCACTTAAAAAATCATGCAGGATTTATATTTTAGGCAGAAAATCACAACAGAAAGCACTGGAAAGATCCATTGTGAAGTAAAGTTCTTTGTTCACAAATATATCAATATGTTCAAAGCACAGGATCGTAAGAATACAGAAACAAGTCATTGTAACTTGAACTTTAAATTTGTCAATGATCATTCTTGCTTTCCAATATTTATGAAATACACAAAATATAAATGGAAACAAGATCAAATTTATGAGATATATTGTTATATTATCAGTATTTTTTTTACTGATTGGCATATCATTCTCCAGTCTTTGTTCAACAGGATCTTAAAATGCCAAGATAGCAATTTAAATTCTGCAATATTTATGTTTGAAATGTTTTTAAAAATTACCTTTTGAAAGGGCCTCTTTATATTTCTCTTTTGCACAGTTAGCTTCTTTGGCTAACTGTCTGTATGAAGACTTCAGTTTTTCAAGTTCAGTCTTGGTTACCTAGATAAACAACAAATGTTGCAATGAAAAGTTAGCTTCTGCATGTTTTCATTGAATTATTTGACTTCAATTTGTTTTTATATAACAGTTTGGAAATAGCAAGAGCTGAAAAAAGTGAAGATATTAAATTTTACACAAGGTACATTAAAATGCAATGAGTACTTCCTACTTAACTCAACAATATAACTGACCCAAATCAGAAAACATTCTATTTCAACGGAGAAGGTTTCCTATGCTATGTTGATCCATGACTGTTTGTGGAACACTGCTGTGCGCATGTTTCACTCATGAAACATACGGTCAATTCTGTGAAGTGCTTTAAAGATGTGACATTGCACTCTATGAAATGCAAGGACTATTATTAAATATATTCCTATTACCGACCATTGGTGCCAGTCATCACATTTGACGGTACTGTGGATTCTTAACACAATTCTAGAAAATACTGTTTATTTTGCAGAGGACGAATAAAAGTTAAATATATCAGAAAGAAATTTATTTCCTCATTTTTTGGTTCCTTTTGTCACCTCTTCTGCTGAAGAAGGCACGTAATGCTGGAGAGTGGTTTCACACCCATCTCTCCAGTGGTTCTTGTTAGGAAATGCAGTGGAATCAGATTCAACCACAATTAAATATTTCAAGAGATTCCTTTTTAGTCCATAAGAAAAGTTATTTAAGGAGTTCTTCCTTAAATAAAGAAAATCAAGATTATAATCCCTCTTCAGGTGGACAAACAGATATTAGAAGCCATTATGCATCCAGAGCTCTGCCCGTAATGTATTACTTCCTTTACATTTTCATCAGAAGTGTCTGGAATCCAGAGTTTGTTTGAACAGACAGTTCCATCCATCTTTGTAGATTTCAAAAAAGATGAGGAGGAATGACACCAACTGTTCCAATCCATGCAACTTGTTGCTGAATTGTTGGCTGGTTAATTGCTAATGTCTGTGCAAAACCATCCTAACACTGGATAAACAATGGAAATATTCCAAGATGTAAGCCAAGACCCAACTCAACTGTGCTGTTGAAAATGTAATTTGTGATGTGAATTAAGTTCTTGATGTTTAGAGGATGTCCAGTATCCACTTTGCAGGTGACTTGCCAACTACCTTTGTTCAATTGTAATACTTACTTTGTCATGTAAATCTCTTCTGGACTTTTTTTTCCCCCAAAAACGTGAGGCCTTCCTTTCTCCACAATGCAAATATGATCCTGTAAAGGTTCTTTCCAGCCACAGTGCTCCCTCAAAGCAATCAACCAACAAGAACAACTTGCATTTATATAGCACCCCTCACACAGGATAATGTCCCATAGCACTTGACAGTGGTGGAGCACTACTCTGAGCCGGGGGGAGGGGGAGGTGACCGTAGGCACAGTTGAATAGTAAGGTCTTCAGACAACCTGAAAATGGGGATGGAAGGGGCCAGGCGGAGGGATAGAAGAAGTCTTCCAGAGTTTTGGGGCGTAGTGGCTGAAAGCCGGGCCACCACTGATGGAACGGAGGGCATGGGGGACATGCAAGAGACCGGAGCCAGTCGAATGGAAGCTGTGGGTTGGGGGGTAAGCAGGTCAAAGAGGGAAGCGCCAGGGCATGAAGGGATTTGAAAACGAGTTTGAGGATCTTCAAATCACCCCGTTCGGTGATGGAGAGCCAGTGGAGCTTCCAGAAACGGTGTGAAGGGGATACGGAGTTCAGTACAGGTGAGTATGTGGGCAGCGGAGTTTTGGATCAGTTGGATCATGTGTATGGTGGAGCTGGAGAGACCTGTGAAGAGGGCATTTGAGAAGTCCAGTCAGGAGATGACGAACACATGGACGACTGTTCCGAATGCGTCCGGGGGTAAGGTACGGTCGGAGGAGGGCAATGTGGCGGAGGAAGGTAGTCGTGGTCAGGGACCCGATGTGGGGAAGGAAGGACAGCTGTAGATCGAACCTGATGCCTAAGTTGCGCACTGGTTCGGTACGTCTGAGGGATAGGTCGGGGAGGTTGAGAAGGTCCAAGCTGCAGTATAGAAGACGTTGACAGGAGCCAATGAGTATGGTTTCCATCTTGTCAACATTGAGTTGTAGAAAATTCTCGCTCATCCAGGCCCTGATGTCCGCCAGACAAGCTGTGAGAACATCGGCGGACCTGGAGTTGCAGCCGGATCAACTAAACATTAAAGATATGATGGTGGGGAGGGGTAGAGAGGTGGCCCAAGAGACAGCAAAAAAGACAACGAGATGAGGTCATCCTAGGTGTATGGCTATAAAATTGGTATTAACTGTTTATTTATGCCAGTATCCATAGACATGTGCGTCCAAAAAGCAATTCCAAAATACAATATGGTGAAGCCCTGTTTCTTCAAACTCTTTTGCAGCCAGTGTTGATGGTTTGGATTCCAGATAAGGAATGTTTCAATAACTCCAATGCTGGAGGGATGAACTATGCGCAATGATTAGACAAGGTAGGGGGTTTCTATTTTGAGCGGAGACGAATTAAAGGGGACCTCTTAAAGGTGCATAAAATTTAAAGGAGATTTGAAATCCAGATCCATACTTGAGGTTGCATCAACAAGACAACATAGGCTCCGAGTTATAAAGAGCAATTTTAGGTCAGATATCATTAAGTTTATCGCTACACAAAGGGCAATCAACAACTGGAACAGGGTGCCAGTGAATATGGTAGAGGTTAGGACATTGGACATTTAAAAAGCAGCTCAGCAGCTTGATGCAGCAATGTGGGGGAGGGGGGGGGGTGTTCTGGAGGGATGAGATTGGATGGGCCAACGGACCTTCTTCATCCAGACCAATCTTGGGATCTTTAAAGTGGCCCTTGAAAGTCTATGTATACACTTCATGTATCAAAAATAGCTTCCTCAAAAAGAGGTCGTTTTCAAGATGACAGCTTGCAATATTTTCATGTCAGAATTGTATTTCAAACACTTTTCAACCTTGTTGCTTGATTAAGGAATGGAATCAATTTAGGATTACTAAATATTGATCCCATATATGTATTCTATGGCATGGTGGCAAATACCAAACTGTACTTTAATTGTCACCTATCATAACTTCCAAAGACATATGTTTTGATATCCTATCATTCCATTTTTAGAATATATTCACTGCATTCTTTGAACATTAAAAGTACAACAGTAGATGTATCATTACTCCCAGGTCCCTTGCCAAGGCTCCCTTTCCTAACTTGATTAAATTCATTATATACTTTTTTAATCTATGTGTAAAGCATCAATTTTAAATTAAATTTTTCAAATGACTGCCCAATTGGATTGCTGCCAACCGCATAAATTACAGTACTGAAACTTGCTTTCCACAGTGGCCTATAAATCTTTGGAATTGTTCTGTACATCACCTCTCAACAGTTGTGATGGTTTACTTATACACACCCAGTTAATCAGACCTATAATTTGTGCAAGGTGGGTTAAGTTTATGTTTGGACAGTAGAGATCTGGCTTCGCCAACCCACATCCTTTCTGACTAATTAGGAAAGAGCTGCTGGACAAAGATACAGGTTCCAGATCGCTGACACTACAATTTTTTATATAAAAGACAACTTTTTAAAAAAATGCCCACACTGTAAATGTTTATTATGAAGTAATTTTTTTTAGTTGATTTGGGTTCCACACCACTTAATCAAATATAGGTAACCGTGGTTTAGAGGTTGATAAGTTGTAATGACAAAACATGGTTAATAACTGACATTGACATTTTAATTCAATTTGTATCGCGCCTTTCACATCGGCAAGATGTGTCAAAGCGCTTCACAGAATTGGCTGGGAGCTGAATTCCAGGGAGGGTTGTTGATGAAATTGCTGTTGATAAGATTGGTTTTAATTTGGATTTTAAATTGTGCGGTGGGGGGGGAGGAAAGAGGTGGAGGGACTCCATCCAGGATGGAATTCCAAAGAGCAGGAGAAGAATGGCTAAAAGCTCACCCAGTTCAGTTCGAGGACAATAAGCAAATTTCCTGTAATTGAATATGGACACGATGGGAGCATCTCTCTCAGCTATTGCCAATGTCTCCTCAATTCTTATCCAAAACACCGCCACCTGCATCCTCTCCTGCACCAACTTCCATGTGTCCATCACCCCAGTCCTCATCAGAAGCCACTGTTTCTCTGCCTCTCATGGGATCAAATTCAAGGTCCTAACCTTTAAATCCCTTCATGCCCTAAACACCTCCAATTTCTCTGATCTCATCCCCTGCAACCTTTACCCTCCCAAGCTTTAAGCAACACTTCTCTACAGCCACTAGTTTGACAGCAAGAAGTGACAGCCTAAGAATCACTATCCCGCAAAGAAATCAAATCTTTCTGCAGTAGAGTGCTGAAGCTGCATCTCACCTGTAATAATAATTCTTGCATTTGATATAGCACCTTATCACATTGTTGAAATGTCTCAAAGCCCTTCAGAATATACTGTAAAGTGAATTGACTGTACATTTTGTGGGTGAAATGCAGAGGCCAATTGCGCACAGCAGTGTCCCACAAACAGTCGTAAATTGAATGACTAAATTATTTAGTAATGTCACGTATTAATTACTATATTTATAATAATTATTAATCATCATTATTAATGGTGTGTGAATGCATTCCAAAATGGCATCTTCAATCTGAGCTATGAAATACCTTGCACATTTCAGCCTCCAGTTGTTGCTGGATACTGTGATAGCTTTTCTTCAGTTGTTGCTTATCTTTGATCATCATGGTCAGTCTGTATAAAGGTCCCACATTTAGGTCTTCAGCATGTGTCCTCATTATCCTGCTCAACTGTTCTGTCTGTTGCAGCATGCATGCCCAGGACTGGAGGCAAGAAGAGACAAAACAGTCCCAAAAGATCAGAAATAATCTTTCAGTGTTCATCCAAATATTTAGTTTATCAAATCAAAGGTTCTTAGTTAACATTTTCATAATTTGCTAACAGTACCATTGGAATTTCTATTTAACTGATACATTAATAAAAACATTATCTCAAAAATTTAAGAGAATATATATTTTGATAACTGGCTATTTTTAACATTACACTCAGAAAAGGCTGTATTTACCTTGGGGACATTGGTAATACAATCCACTGGTGAGGAGGTATCATGCTTCTCCACTTGCTGATAAATGTTCTGCAGCAAAGATGCATATTCTTTGTCACTTTTAACTCGTAGGACCATAAACTTCTTTAATGTCTCCAGAAGTTTAAGCTCAGATTCTTGCAGTTTTAGCAAAGCCTCGTGGGAATTCGGAAGATCACTTCCAAACCCCATGTTGAATAAGGCACTGTAGTATCCACAATGTTAATGACAGTTCAGCACACACTGGTTACAGCATTTCCCTTCTCTGAAAAGTAAAGAAAAAATAACATTTGTGCTGTCATCATTTTATTTAAAACATATAGGTTTGCATAGATTCAAGAAACCTTAAGTCACATCAATGCCTGCTTAACATCTTGGTTTTTAGTTTGGAAATTACTCTTACACTTCAACTTTGACTAATTTATTTTAAAAATCAAATTATAAGTTAACCAACATACTCAGCAATATAGTCTAATACCATGAATGTTGTTCAACTCTCTAACATACATTCAAGAAATGTTTCGACATGATAAAATGCTGTTTCAAATACAGGAATTTCTTCACTTCAGAAGGTTGTTAAGAGTTTGGAATTCAATTCAATTTGGATTTAGAGGCAGTAGTAGTTTCATAGACTGGATAGGCCAAATGGCTTCCTTCTGTGTCAAAAAAATTCAACTACAAATACAGTTACACCACTTTACAGAAAATTCTTCTGGGCTCCACTTGCCAAATCAGCATAATGCTCAGTCGTTCTGAGGAGGTCGTGTTCCCATACATCTTTTCTCAAATAAATAATCCTTTATGTAGCTCTGACAATGTTCAAATATCTCAAAGTGCCTCGCATGAATTGTCACCAAATGTAGTGACTTCATATTTGTAAGCAAAACAGCAATTTGCCCACAACAAATAGCTATGGAAGATTGTTGGTCAGGATACCAGGAAACCTCTTCTCTCTTTTCGAACAGTGTCATGTGATATTCAATGTCAACCTGAACAGACGGATGGGAATTTTTAATATGTCATCCAAATGACAGCATCTCCAACAAGTCGGCATTACCTCAGGATTACATTGGTGTCAGCCTAGATTGAGTTCAAACTCCTGATCTGTGATTTAAACCCTCAACCGTCTGACCCAGAGGGGAGATTTCTACCAACTGAACCAGGCTGAGCTTAGTGAAAGCAAGAAGATACTGTTTTAGACAAAGCAAAAAATATATCTTTACTCTTTTACATACTGCTACAAATATGGCTGTCAACAAAGTGATAACGATGAGACTGATAATAGAAATATCCGTTCACCCAAGTCATGGCTCACCAAGATTGTGAAGTCAGTGTGGACGTACTGCATTTTTTTTTAAAAAGTCTTTTTTTTAAAAAAAAGGAGTTGCCTGATAACCATATTGTTTTCTAAACCACAAAGGGTGTGTGTGTGTGTGTGTGTGGGGGGGGGGGAAGAGAAGACTGATTCAATCCCCATATTGCAGATGGTATGGATTCCACTATATAAAATTAGAGAGAGTACAAGACTAGAATAGAAACAATTACTTACTTATTTCTTACGGAAACAATAAATCATCTTGGTGAAAAACGGAAGGGGTCATTCTTCATTACCATTTTTACCAGAGTTCCAATTACTCAGTGAAAGCAATGAGATAACATATTACTTTAATCTAAGCAAAAAAGTTCTCTCTCCTTTTTTAAATAATGCTACTAATATGTCTGGCACCTAATTAATAGTCAGAAACGCAAGATTGCAAAACTTATCGACAAACCTGCAAATTGTAATGCAAGCTTAAGGACCATGAAAGTTTTCTTTAACCCACAAAAATAAAAACTGAGGGGAGAAGTTTAGGAGCTATTTTTGTGTAAGAAAAATTGAGGGGAAAATTGTTCCTCCACAAACAAAGAATAAATTGGGATTATTTTGTAACACTGAAAAAAACAGGCCAAACATTTGCAGCCTGAATTATAACATGAATTTGGGGTTATAAACCTGTGGCACTGCAGACCCCAATCACTACGCATGATGCAGTTGACCTGTCTTTTGTATTAAACAGCCCCACCATATTGGGAATTTACTTATCCTAACCACCGTGGAGAGGGGGAGCGCCTGGGTGGGGGGGAGCAGGCGAGAAGGGAGAGAGTGTGAGTTAGAGAGGTGAGAAAGGAGGTGCAGGAGCGGGTACACGCGATGGGGAGAGAGAGAGAGAAAAACAAGAGAGAAGTTGTGAGGGCAGTTCTTCCTGGTTCACTGTCAGGATAGACGAGCAGAGTCTCCCTTGGCCATTGAAGGGAACCGAGGTGTGACACCGAGTGACGTGCAGTTTCCTCACAGAAAGCTCCCACTTTCCCCAGTGAGAATCTCCTCTATGTCCTTCATCCCCCCTTCCCCACCCTACCTCAACGTGCGATCTCCTGACCCTGACTGTTCCCTTTGCCCAGCGAACACTGGCTTGCTTCATGTCACCCCACCCCATCTGCCCCACCAACACCATTTTACTCCTCACTCTCTGGAGCTCCAGTCCCAGTCTCTCCGACTCGCTCCCTCCATCCTCTCTTTCAAGGCACATCAAGACCTAACTATTTGACCTTGTTTTCGGTCATCTTTTCCCCTCCCCACCTCCCTCAGCTCTCACCCAAAGCTCAGGTGCCCGGCCAACAATGTTGTGCACTTTGAAGCGTCCTTCCAACGTGAAAAGAGTGCTATGTAAATGTTATTATGGTCCTGGAAGGGAAACAAAAATATTGCTTGTGCAGCCTGCGGATGTTTCTCAAATAGGGCATCCGGCCCGCAATAGCCAAAATGTTGGACCACCCAGTTCTCGCCTAATACCTCCTGATCATTTTAACAAAAGTTTATTCCCAAACTTAGTTTCTTTAAAGAAACTATTTCCTCATAAATTAGGTCCTCCTAATTCACTGATTTATTCTTCTCTATATCCTTTCCAATAGATCCTTTTTGATGGTTATATTTGCCAGAGAGGGCTGACAGCCTTAACAACATAAAGCAAAATCCTTTTGTGCCAGTCTCCACTGCTGTGGACTCCATGGTAAAGGTAAAAAACTGATCATAAGATCATGGCTTGATATTATAAAACAATTAATTCCACGATCATCCGTTTTTTTCCATTCAATTATGGAGTTCTGCAGTGTTAAAGTATTAAAGTTAAAGTATTCGCCTCACAAGTGAGAAGATCTGGGCAGAGCGAAACTTTCGGCAAATTTCCTTACTCCACACTCCTCCATTAACCTAGCAGTAAGTTGGAACTTTGTTGTTAGTCGACTGGTGAATCACTTTCCGGGGGTAATAATCAGTTAAAAAAAAGCTTTTTTCTTTCAAACTTGCTTCTCTCTATGGTTAATTTTACTGTTTATTTTCAAGTGCTGCAGGCCTCTTCCCACAGTCCTTATAATATGTACTGTCCTTCTAATAATTGCGACACTACTGTGCATAATTGGCTGCCATGTTTCACCCACAAATATACAGTCAATTCACTTTACAGTATATTTCGTGAAGTGTTTTGAGACATCTAGAAGGCGTGAAAAGCGCCATATCAAAATGCAAGGAGTATTATTAATATCTCTATAAACCCTCAGGACAGAATCTCCTTTATTCACACCATTTCATTTTAGGTGTCAGCCTAGTTCAGTTGCAAGCACCCTCATCTCAAGATCCGAAGGGTTTAAACCCACAACAGGATTTGAGTTGTATTTCAGGCTGGTAGTCCAATGCAGTTCTGGAGCAAACACTGCAATGGAAATATGCCATCCTTTGTATGAGACATTAAACCAAGCTACTGTCAGCGTGTTAGGTGATTATTAAAGATCTTAGGACTCTATTCAAAAAGAAGTGTTTCTCTTAATGTCCTGGTCAAACATCTTCAAAATAACAATTGCATTGCTATTGAACCTTTCACATTGCAAGGTTGTCTCAAAGAGCTTCCCACAGCTGTAATTAACTGTGGATAAAATTGGGGCTACAGCTGAACAATAAATTGCTCATTCACTTCATTGTTGGGATAAAAAGCAGGAGTGAATTATTGAAATGTGATCAGATCAGAAGTGAATTACAAAAAAATTGTTTCAGTTAATTTTGGTATGTTTATGCTTGTTAGCTAATGTCAAGCTGACTTGCAGAATTTTGAGTATAAAATTATTAAAATGTTGCAAAAGAAACGCCCACTCTCATCAGCGTTTCCAAACCAAGAGAACCTTTGTCTGGTGCCTATGAACTGTGATAGTCATCCCAGTGACAAAATACATGTAACCATAATATTGCCTATTGTTAGCCTGCTTATTCAATTAATGCAACACTATACATCTTTTTGCCTCAGTAATTAAATAAGCTATTAAACATACAATGCAAGTGACGTTGGTTCCTTTGTTTTCAGATTCCCGACTCTATACTTTGGCAATCTAGAACAGCTATTCTATTCTGGCTGCACTTTATTGACAGGCGAAGTAGTGTGGTTATTCTCTGGCCGACTTGCAGGAAAAGCAGAGCGGTTAATTCCATTCTAGTCATCCCTTTGAAGCTAACAGGACCTTGCTTGCTGTGGGTCCGAAATGGGTCCTAGCTGGACAAGTACTAGGAAGTTTGCCAGACAGTGCTTTCAATAGAAAGCTATGCAGTTTTAGCTGATTAAACTCCAGCAGTTCCTCAACGCATACTCCAGGGTTTCCAATCCTTGGCTTTTGCCAGTCTGTGCCTGATATTCTCCAGAATTATGCAAGCAAAAAGTGTCCTTCCGGGGAAAGAGTGCGCATGCCGTTCCAAATATGAATTTTCATGGAAGCATAGTGATGAATTTCCACATGTCAGACACCCAGTTGACCAAACAATAAATTGGCTGTCATGTTTGCCTATAACAAGTCATTAAACTTTATTTCAACTCTCTATGAAGCACTTTAAGAAGTTACATTGAAAGGGTTATTTTTATCCAAAGTGGTATACACACCCATGGCTGTTTGTGAGACACTAGTCTGCGCAATTGACTGCTGTATTTCGCCCACAAAATATACAGTACTTGACAGTACATTCTGTGAAGCACTTGAGACTCAAAGACGTGATAAGGCATTACATCAAATGCAAGGATTATTATTATTATTATTATTTCAGCGCCTTGGGACGTCCTCCTGACGTGAAAGGCGCTTTATAAATGGAATCTTGTTGTTGTTGTTGTATTATATCAAAGATAGTGATACAGTAAGTGGGTAGCAAAATCCTCTCCATCTTTTGGACCCATACTGAATCTTGTCTTACCA